TCCCATACACTTTGCTAAGGACTCCTTGTTTAGCCCTCTTTACCCATTTTCTATCTTCAAATAGTTTCCCATATAGGACCTGTACTCTCATTATTTTAATCATTCTATTCTCATTATACTTTTGCTTCTTTAGTTTTCTTCCATGTATCTTTCATTATATTTGGTTTTATTATATACAACGTTTAAATAAATGAAGTAATGTTCTCTTTCAAATTTGGTATTATATACTGAACATCTTTCCTTTTTGTTCTGTCCTGTGATTATATCTCAAATTGAGCTGTCACTCACTAAGCAGGATAATGGCAATTATTCTCTTTAAGCAGAGAGAGAGAGTCATCCGTTTACTTCTTAAATCAGAAAGAATAAAGGTGGCATGGTTAAAAAATGATGCCATAAAACTTTCAAAAGTATATTCAACATAGGTTCAGAATGAGTGGTAATCTAATTCAGTACTATTCAAACACAGCAATTGAACAAATACATGTTTCCCTTTGTGCAATATAAATTAATTTGGGTGGAATAAAGACTTGAAAGCCTGCTTTGAATTTTACTTATTTAAATTTATTTATTTAGATTTCCCCCCTGAATTTATTTATTTTTTATAAATAACTCAAGGCAGTGAACATGCACGGTATTTTTTCCTCCTCCCATTTTCCCCCAAATTACAATTCTGTGAGATAGGTTGGGCTGAGAGTGACTGGCCCAAAGTCATCCAGCCAATTTTCTTATTTAAGGCAGGAGTAGAACTCACACTGCCCTGATTTTTTTTTATTTTTTTATTTGATTTATATGCCGCCCTTCTCCAAAGACTCAGGGCGGCTTACAATGCGTTAAGCAATAGCCTTCATACTTTTGTATATTTATACAAAGTCAGCTTATTGCCCCCACAATCTGGGTCCTCATTTTACCTACCTTAGAAAGGATGGAAGGCTGAGTCAACCTTGAGCCTTGTGAGATTTGAACTTGCAGTAATTGCAGGCAGTTGATTTTAATAATAGTGCTTTAGTCTGCTGCGCTACCAGGGCTCCTAGCCCCGGTGCCTTAGCTACTAGACCAAACTGTCTATATGTACAGTACATTATGAATAAATATTACCAGCACTGCAAGTAGTCAAGAATACTCAAAGACTTGCATGATGTTCTCAAACATCATGATTCTCATGCATCTAAGAATTATTTGGCTAAAAGAGCACTTAAAACTGGCATTGGTGGAACTCTTTAAATAAATTTATATTACTTTCTTAAATGAATAAATGTTTGCCAACTTATATTTTGGACATAAGCCATTTAAAAGTGTAATCAATCAAGTTTGAAAAGAATTTTTTAGTCAATCAGCTAAGGAAGCAGAATCCAAATTCCCAATTCAGAATATGTCATACAAGATTGTCTTACAAAAATTTAGGCTCCTTATTCTCATAGATAATGTAGATAAAGTTTTCTTATTTAGAGAAACTATTTCTGGCACTTTTCATATTTATTTCTCATGACTCCCCATCTATGTGGCCGTTTTACACAAATTTTACAAATAAGATATTATATTAAAAGTAAAGAAATTCACAGGGTGCTTGATCACTATTTTTTATAATAACATGATAATGAGTCATCATATAATTATTTATTTTGTATTACTTATATCATTAATTATATCTTCATGAAGATTGATGATAGGAAGTAGATATTAAACAACTGTTATGGTTTTCCGTAATTCACAGGCAAAATATATTGATGACAATTTGAATTTAGAACTTTTTATTCTCAACCTTTTAATGCTCTTCAATAATATTCAAGAAATTTTGTTTTCATTCTCTAAATGGAATTCATTGGAAAATATATTTCCCTAAACATTAAGGCAAATATGCATTTAACACAACAGGGCATCATTCAAGCAGAGCTGCTATAGATATTGCAGCATTGAAATAAATGGAAGTTGAATTGTAATTGTGGTTAGGGGGTTGCATCTTTATTTGCATATAAATAATTTTGACCTGAAGAAGGACATAAAGTAAATGTTACATAAAATAATTCATCCTGTTTTAATTACAAATTAAAGACTGCTAGATGAAAGATAATGTATTCCAACATGTTTCATTGTTTCAGGGTGGTTCAATTGACCTACTATTATATACAATTTTGTAGAACTAAGGCAGCACTTCCCAGTCTGGTATGCTTCAGTTATGTTGAATTACAATTCCCCTAGCCAAAATATTTTCTTACTAGATCCCTGATACATAGATACACTATGTGTTCATAGTGAAGAACACAACATGGTGGCACAATATACTGCTCCAGTCAGTATCTTTCAAATGACATCCATGTTCATCCCACTGCATCCATTCTCATCGTTCTTGGGAGATCCACAGCCGCTTAATAGTTGGATGTGTAGGCTTTCCATGATGTCAAATCTATATAGAACCTGAGATTTGCATGACAGCAGTTCAGACATTTATTGTTACTGTTTAATAATCATCTTAGGGCAATCAAGGCTGAGACTGTGACAAGCAAAGAAAGATTTTAATCCTTAGCTAAATGCCACATTTCTAATAAAATTTGCTCTTTATCATGAAAATATATATATATATTGGCATTAAATTGGAGCAGTGATTTTTCCTGGGGCTATGATCAAGGAAGGCCCAAGTATGCTACTGCCCATTCTTTTATTTATTTATTTATTTATTTATTTATTTATTTATTTATTTAATTTGTATACCGCCCTTCTCCCAGAAGGGACTCAGGGCGGTGAACAGCCAAAATTAAAAAACATATTATTCTACAGTTCCACTCCTAATTGCTTCTCCTATCGCAGTGGTTGCTATTAACAACAGATGCATTAAAGGTAATCAAGCATTTTCACATATTGCCTAATTTGATTATGATTATAGACCCTACATTTATTTTTCATTTAGAATGGGTAGTTGCTATGGGAGTTCAACCCCTTTGCAAATTGACATCCAACAGAAAGTAATGGGTTTTTTTCATTGAAGATATTAATAGGTTAATAGATATCAATGAGCCTCTGAAGAGGAGACACATCAAATATTTTAAGATATTTTTTTAAAAAAACAAATCTTAGCGTTTTAAAGTGCCATCGATTGCAGACTGAACACTAGGAAAGTGTGGTGTTCTTGGAGCAAAAGGACTATCTATAAAAAATATCTGCACATCATTTGGTGTTAATAAATAATATAATGATTTATTCTCTGGTGAAAGGTCATTTGCATTAGCCCACTGAAAATATCTTTCTAACATCATTACGAAATTTAAGATCTTATTCATCACTCAGATCAACAGCCATGCAACTACACAATGAACCATAATGTCTATTTTTATTCAGCCATGCTACCATGAATTATATCTTATTTTACTCAGATCTTAATTTTATTCTGATTTCAGCAACAACAAACTATGCTGGGGAGGTTACATAATTTCAGAAAGTGCATTGCAGGTTTTAAGGTTTTATTTCTCATCATCTGACCAATTACAAAGTATACCAAACAAATGTGATCACGATAATATAATCATGGACCATTCATTTAGTGACCATTTGAAGTTACAACAGCACTGAAAAAAGGTGACTTATGGCCATTTTTCACACTTATGACTGTTGCAGCATCCCCACGGTCACATGATCAAAATTTGGCCGCTTGGCAATTGGCATGTATTTATGATAGTTGCATTGTCGTAGAGCATTGATAGCGAACCTTTTTGGTACTGAATGCCGAAAAGAGAGCGTGCGCGCATCTGGGCCGAAAGCTGGAAGAGGAGCTGGCCAGGGTGCATGCGTGTGCCAGAAAATGAACTTCCGGTTTCAGCTACCGAACTTCCGGTTTCAGACAGCTACACTTCTGAGTTTCTGGCACGCATGTGCGCGCAACGATCAGCTGGCTGGTGCGCATGCTTACGCAGGAAAATGGAAGACCAGCTCTTCCAGTTTCCGGCACTGCCGTATGCAAAAAGGCCAGCTGATCATTGCACGCACATGCATGCCAGAAACCTGGAAGAGGAATGGGTGACGTTGTGTATGCTGAGCAACATGGCTCCATGTGCCACTTTGGGCACGCGTGGCATAGCTTCGCTATCACAGTCCTAGAGTCATGGGATCACCTTTTGTGACCTTCTGGCAAGCGAAATCAATGAAGAAGCCAGAATCACTTAACAATTGTGTTACTAACTTAATAACTGCAGTGATTCATTTAACAACTATGGCTGTGGCAAGTAAAGTTGTAAAATGGGGCAAAACTCACTTAACAACTGCCTTGCTTAGCAATGGAAATTTTGGGCTCAATTGTGGTCGTAAGTCCAGGACTATAGTACCTATATTGCATATAGAATATCTTTATTCTTTATTCTGTTTATTTCTGTTCATTATATGTGTTCTTTTATTTCATGTTTTGATACATATTATCTAACCAAAAGGGCAAAAGAAAAAGATACTTACAAGAACTGAAGAATGCAAATCAGCTACAGCTGTTAACAAAACAAGCTATAGAAAACAGCTATCACGATTGGACTGATGGTACTAATAAATCAGGACAATTGTTGCTTTCATTTCTTGAGAAAGGTCATTGAAAACATCCACTAAGAATAAAATTTATGAAGTCTGAACAAAGTATAAGAATAAATACTTATTGTGAGAATCAGCACAGATTCTATGATATATATACAGTATAACAGATGGAAACATTGTATTGGAAAGACACCGAGATTCACCTTCTACAAACAATCCTTAGGAATTTCCTATTCTCCTTGATCTACTCGACCAGCAGATAAAACACTTCTTTTTCTCTGTCTTCTTATTCTCACCTTTTGATAGATATATTGTGTGCTTTTGTGATGTGTGAGTGTGTGTGTGTGTGTGTATTTAGTCCATTTTCTAATAAAGTAGATAGAAAGCATTCTATCTTGTTACATGGGGCCTTAACATGCTCTGACACTGCATACAAGATCCTTAATAATCTAGGCAAGCAATTTAGCCGAGCTAAAACACTGAATAAACTTATTTACCTCGGTCAGATGAGGGTTGGGGTTGAATCCACATTGGTTGCAGACCTTGTTGTGACACTGTGTGCAGGTATTGAAGTTTGGCTGGTTAGGAGAGGAGGTGAGATCTGTTGTCTTGCATATAGGGCAGAGCGTGCTACTGGGAAGGGGGGCAATTTGTGGGACCGAATAAGGTGAGGTAGGCGTGCTGCCTCGCTCCGGGGAAACAGATGGTGAGCGTCCTCCACCCACTTGGAGAGTCCTCCTGGGCCCATCGGTGTGTTGGGGAGCCTGCCCCTGGCTCCGTTTCTCTCTTGGGGTTTCACTGCCTGGAACACCTTTTGTCAGGGATGGGGAAGGTGTCCTCTGCCCAAAGGAGGAGTCTGATTGTTCTTGTCTTCTCGGTGTGCTGAAACACATTAAAAGGCATATTGAATAAAATGGTGATAAGTACACAAACTCCCACAGAAAAGACTAGGGGAAAAAAACCCAATCTAAGTAGTTTGAAGAGTTGCAGTTAATTACTGCCAACAGATGTTCAAACACAAGGATTGCATTGTCTTATTTATTTTTAATACACCCGATAATAGGAGTTCTTCTAAGAAGCAGTTATAGCTCACCACACCTAGAGCATATTTAATGTCAGACTGGCTCAAACCTGTTCCTTTTTCTGCAGCCTACAGCCTCAAAAAGAGGGAGATTATATGTAAACTGAGAACCAACAGAAATCAGGCATCCTCTATTAACCTAAGCAAGTTCCCATTACTGGAAAAGGTTATCTGATCATTTGCAGGACCATTTCATGTCACAGCACAGTCAGTCTCTATCTAACACTGCTGATTCTAGGTTACAAAATAACTGAAGCAAGGGCAGACAATCCAATTACAACATTACATTTTAAAATTACATTTTAAAAATCAGCTTCCCAAGTTTGTTTGTTTTTTTAAAAAAAAACAAAATTTAAGATCAATTTAAAAATAAATTAACAAGACGCCGGGAACATCTCTTGTTTTTTATTATTTATTTATATCATTTATTTCTTGCTCAGTCCCATTAAAAATGCCTACATATCATTAGCAAATCATAAAAACAATCCATTTAAAAACAACAAGCTGACCAGAGAATAGGTACCTCACATCCCCACTGCCCAGGTCTAAAAATCTAGAGACTTTACAGACTCCACACCTCCAAAGCTCAGAAGTAAAATATTTCAGAGGGGAAGAAAAAAGCCTTTTTTTTAGTTCCCCCTTCTCTCACATTGGGGGTGGTGGTTTGAAACATTATTTCCCAAGCTGATTGCACAGAGCATGCAAATTTTGTTTGGAGAAGAAATCTGGTACATAACATAGCACCAAGCTTGCAGGTCAAAACCCACACTTAGAATTTGCACTTGTTGCCTTCAACTTTTGAAAGTGTGTGACAGAGATGTCTTTATCATGGTTTATGATATAACTGGAAGTAATAATGAAATACACTTTGCAATGTATGTACTCTGAGAAATTCCCAGCACTCAGGCTACCACATTCCAAACCAGCTGAAGTTCCTTGGTGGACTTCACAGGTAGCCCTAAGTTGTGGGAGAAATATGCCTTCAGTCTTCACTCCTGGTGACCACCTGGACTAGTCCCTGCAGCTGTCTTGGCAAGACTTCTTTTTTAAAAAGTGGTTTGTCATTGCCTTCTTCCTAGTGCTGAGAGAGAATGATTGGTCCAAAGTCTCTGAACTAGTTTTGTGCCACAGGCAGGACTAGAACTCATGGTTTTCTGGTTTCCAGCTGGTGCTATAAGCACAGGAATTCAACCTTGAGGGAATAAGAGCATGGATATATTGGAATATACATACATGCTGTTATTAATTCTTGCTTCCCCATTTGAAGAATATTCCCAAATATCTAAATTCTTAAATTTGATAAGATCAAATATTGTCCTTTTTGAATTCAAGCTCTGTGATGTTCACTAGGACGTTATACTATTAGACTGCTGCTTCATGATCTGCTGTGCATATCTTAATAAACACATTAATCAGAAGCAGAAAATCCTATCTTGCTTGTTCAGTGCTCAGCCTCTATATCCAACATGTATTTTCTGAATTCCTGTGTAAGCAGAGCTATGTTAAAAATAATATAATAAGTCAAGAACATGTTATAAATATTTTACCACAATTAGCTTTGAACATACCTTCCATAATCCTATTATGCAAGTGAACTAAATTCCTCCTAGTATTCTATAAAGTTCAATTCCCCAATTACCCTGATGCAGAGGTGGTATTCAGCCAGTTCGTACCAGTTCAGGTGAACCGGTAACAGAGATCGTGGGTGGGGCCCAGGCTCTATGCTGTCCAATTTAGGCGCGGTTTTGAGGCTGGGTGCATGCACAGAAGACGCACATGCGAGCAAAGCACATGCGTGGAAGGTGTATGCACGGCAAACCAGTAGCAACAAAATGTGAAACTCACCGCTGCCCTGGTAGCACCTTAACGTGAGTTGACTAGATCAAGTGAGTATTTCCCATTTACTGCCTTTGACAGAGGGAGGCAGGACAGAAAGTGAGTTGAGTCCATGTGAATGGAACAATTCTCATTAAAGTAAAACTTTATACCACTTAAACGCACTATGTGAACTATAAACTTATATTAACCCAGTGGTGAAATCTAAAATTTGTTACTACCAGTTCTGTGGGCGTGGCTTGGTGGGGGGTAATGTGACTGGGTGGGTGTGGCCAATTTTTTTTTAACTTTTAAAATTTTTTCTACAATCTATTCAGTGAAGAGGTTGTAAAAAAATGCTTTCAAAAGGCTCTGATGATCCCAGCTGCCTGATTGTCAGAGGCTTTTTTTCTTTTAAATGCCTCTGCCGATCAGGCAACACAGCTTGGATCGTCAGGCATCATCTTGGATTGTCAGCTTGGATCGTCAAACTCAGCTTGATAATCAGGCAACTCAGCTTGGATCGTCAGAGGCATTTAAAAGAAAAAAAAGCCTCTGATGATCACGCGGCTCAGCTGGGCATGGGGGGGGGCAGGGATTTTTGCTACCGGTTCTCCGAACCACCCACCTCCATCGCTACTGGATCGGGTGATCCGACCCGAACCAGGAGCATTTCACCCCTGTATTAACCATACTACAATAGTAATGTTCGAACCAAGTGTGATAGTTGATATTCAGTCTGATGTGTTAGCCCTAATAATATTGTAAAATTGATCACTCAACTGTCAAGCAATACAAAATGGTTTGCACTTCAGTTAGGATGTGTAGGCCAGTGGTGGGTTGCCCCCGGTTCGGACCGGTTCGCAAGAACCGGTAGTAAAACTGGTGGGAGGCCCCGCCCACCGCCCCAGATGTCATCATCGGCGTGCACACAATCCTGTTGCGAACCGGTAGTAAAGGTAAGTAGAACCCACCCCTGGTGTAGACATATACTCAGAGGAACCATTCCATCTCTCTCTCTCTCTCTCTCTCTCTCTCTCCTTCCCTCCCTCCCTCTCTCTCTTATCTCTGCTGCTGTAAGGCATGAAACTGATAAAGCCATTTTGCAAAATGTATTTTGTTATTACTTCCAGTTTGTTTTATGTTTGTTTGTTTGTTTTATTAAATTTATATACCGCTCTACTCCCGAAGGACTCAGGGCGGTGAACAGGCACAAAATAAAATACATAAATACAAAAGTTATATACTAAATATAACTTTAGTATATACAATTATATACTAAACCATGATAAACACATCTCTGTCACACATTTTCAAAAGTGGCAGGAATTGGCCAGTGGCTTGTAGTTTCTGCCAGATATTTGGGTGATAAAACAGGCAAATGTGTATTACATGTTCCAAATATATGTAGCTCCCTCAGTAAATTATGCCCAGGCGTAGGAAAATCAATTTATTTAGCAGATATGTATCCATACACATAGGGTGATGAATATTTTTATGTAGTTATTTAATTTTTATTACTTTATAAGCAAGTCAAGTACCTAATACTCCTTTCTCACAACAACAATCCTATGAAATGAGTTGGGCTGAGAGTGACTGGCCCAAAGTCACCCAGCTTGCTTTCATTCCTTAAGTGGAACTAGAAATCATAGTCTCCCTATTTCTCAGCATGAATTTTTTCTAAGCAAGCTTTACGTACACTAAACTGGCTAGGTATCAAAATATTCCTAACCTTTAGGCGTAGATTTGGAACAAACAAGGCCAAAATGCTTAAAGCCCAATAAATTAAAGGACAATAAATCTTTAGACTATACCAATGACACAGCTTCACACTGTTCAATTAGATTTCCTCAATATATTCCTGCTGTTTTGTTCATATAATTTCTGGTAGTTATTAGGTTTAACTGAAATAAATTCAGAAGGAAAAAGAAAACAGTATCTCCATGCTGAATTCTACCCTCTCTTCAGTAATATGGAAAATCCAAGAAGAAGTTGAGAAGTATAACCTGTCCACTTCCCCATCATTTTTCAAAGCAATTAATGACAGGATAAATCTTCACTATGATATCATAAACCTACGTAGTACAAGAATTCCCAATTTTCATTACAAGTCCTGAGATACCTAGAATATCTATTTCAACATTTTTCTTAATTAAAATAATGTATTAGGTTTAAGTTCATCAATTAAACACTTATTTCATTTTATTATCTTCTCTGTGGCTTTTTTTAAATGAAGTATTGAGCTGACTTCAAATAACTAAAAATTTATATCAAATGACAACTAATGGCTTTTGCACTCCTTTATGTTGTTTCTGTTTACATGAGTAATTGCAAGCACAATGGAACTGTTTTCCTTCATGAGAAACAGATTTACATTCAGTAAACAGTTGGTATTATAGATCATATGTAACATCTTTTGTACAAAACATTCATTTTATATGGTTGTTAGTAACAGTTTTTAATTGGAAAAAATGTATTTTGAAACGTATCTCCCTTGAATCTCACATGAAGTGATAACTACATAAAATACATAAAATATATAATGAGCCATCCTCATTCAGTAAAACTGTTCCCAGCTAAAATGTTAATGCCAAGAGGCTGGAAATAGTTTATTTTTTAGACATGCAAAGCAGTTTCATTATTATATTCTCCCAGGAATAGTATGTTACATAATTTTTAAAATTATTTTTTTCTTAACAGCTAAAAATGTATTCACTTCAGTGTATTTAATCATACACTGTGCAATCAAAATAGAGTTGCTAAATCAGATTCGCAGATGAATGAACCTACACCAGAGAAACTTTAGAAGATTTGGATCAGATATTATAATATCAGGAGATTTTACAACCATATACCTTTGATTGTGTACATGAAATCATACCAACTATGAAATTCATAAACAGAAGAGGGTTAATCAATGGTAGACATAGAATTGATTTATACAAGGAATTTGTCATATATTCTACCAAAGCTATAGCAATGATCA